AAATGTTAGTCTGGAGCCCTGTATCAACAATGCAGTCAACAATCTGGTAGATCTGTGCACAATGTGAATCATTTTTCTTTTTACATATAGTACAAAATGGATATGACATAGCAGCAAACTGAATATAGTGCAGGATAATAGTTTGCATTTGTGCTCAGGCACTGTCAAAAAAGTCCCGCATTACACTTAATAACGCCAGATATCTGTTAACCACTAGTGTGGATACAGCGGCAACTGTAATAAATGATTAGTCCTGTGTTACAAATGTACATGATTCTAAAAAATTTTCAAAAGGAGCACTATTCATTTCTTGATGGATAAGACTTTTAATGAGGAAATAATTACTGTGACTATTACATTATGCAGTACTTTCTCATTAACTGTTAAAACTTTTTATGTAAGCCCAACTGTTATGTAAAGATTGACTGATTAATGTTTAGTGAGCCTAATATAATCAAAGTTTTTCAAAAAGCAAACAAAAAGACAAGCACAGATTGCTTGATGCTTATCTAAATGACAGTTGAACAGTCAATGCTAGCTCTTGTATTAAACATTTCTGTGTTCTTTCTGTCTACAAGATATGATAGATTTAGATCAGAGATATATATATATATATATAAATAAAATAAAATAAAAACACGTTAAAAGGCGCCTTTTCCCTCCAGGTAAACTGCTAAATTTTGTTTCATTATTTTGCGTCATAGATCACGATCAGGATCTGGGCCAAATGCAAGGAACATCAGATTAAAAGCCTGAAGACAGAAACAAAAGGTGCAAAGCAAAAAGCAAAAACAACTGTCATAGCCAGATAAAGAAAACAAGCAGAGTGGGTAAATACTGCAGAAACAAAGCTAACAGCACAGAAACAAAAAAGACAGATCCCAGCAGCCTCTACTGCTGCCATGAGTGTCGTCACCTTGGGTTGGTTGGCAGCACAGTGGAGGGTCTCTTTCAAGTAATTATTCATAATTGCCTTTTGAATATTTAATCCTGTACATAGTCACTCACTTCGGCTGTTTGTGACCTCGATGATGGGAGATGAGCGAACATACTGGTCTGGTGTTTTTATTTGTCTTCTTTGTGTCCGTTAAAGCCTATTGCCTCTGGGTAACATTTTTCAAAAATTAATCGATCAAGAAAGAGGTATAGGCGCAAGCAAAAAAATTTAAAGGATGGAAACAGATTTCACTCTCCCATTAAAAGATTACGTGACAAAGGATTGACTGTGTATTCATGAGAGCCGCAGCTACTTATGCGGGTCTCCAACTGCCTATAAAAGCTCCATTAACCACACTAAAGACCAGATTCCCTGGGAGGGGAAAACAAATCACCATTTAAAATATACAACCACTGCACAATTTAAGTCTGGTATCCTCTGTACAAAAGGCACTTCAACTAGGAATCTGGTTCTTTATCCGTTCTTCTGTAGATGATAAAATACAGTTTTAGAAACAGGAATGAATAAGAATATTGCCAACAGTACTAGAACAACCTTGCCTTTTCCCCCAGCCTATATGCAAATATTAAGCAAATATCACGGTATGTTAATGCCACTGTTGACTTATTCCAGCCTCACTGCCATCTCAATTTAGACTGAGCACCAAAGGACGAAAACAAAATAACCTTTTTCTTCCCTGAAGGTGTGCCATTAAAAGATCTGAACAGGCAACAGCGACCTGTGTATAACCAAAAGACAATTTCCTGCTATCATATCCCTTAAAAATATAAGAAAGAAACAACTTACACAATTATGCATATTGCACATGATTATACATGTTGCTATGTAACAAATGGCTTAGGTCCTCCCTTCAATGTAAGTCTAATTGTTTAATCGTTTTATCATGTCCTAGATGCAAGTCTGATCACTTATGTAGGTAACAAGTTAAATACTTATGGTGTTTGCTCAAATCCCTTAGTTCAATGAGTAATGCTATTTCCAGCACCTTGTCTGCCATTGTGGGTAACTTGTTGGCAGAACAATAAATCTTATGAAAACCAATCAGATGAATCACTTTGCATAAGCAGTGGTTCATGTCACAAAAATCACATACCCCCAAAAAACAAAAGCAAAAATTTGCTTGCACAAAACACACACACACACACACACACACACACACCATGCTTGTAGTTGGAAGGTAAACACCATCTGCCTGTCCTGTATGGTTCCCTGTAAGTCACTCCATTCCCTCTTCTATGTCTCTCTCACGTCTCATACAATAAAGCAGCACAGAAGCAGCACCCCCGGCCCTCACAGCCTGGATCTGAGCATTATGAACTACATCACCACAGGATAAACCAACACCGGGTCATGTCCTTTACCACATTATTAGGTCTATGAATGAGAAGAAAAATAGCAGCCTACTTGCAAAGCTCGGTGGCGTTAACCATAATTGTGTCAACCGGTAAAGATTTATATCCTGTTAAATATGTTGGATATCAGTGGGCAGAATTGAAAATGCAGAGCAAGACTTGTCCCAAACAAGTCAAGATGAGGACCTGATAATCAGACTCTTTCATTTGCTATGGATAATGAAATCTTTTAGTTGGCGTCCATCAAGTTCCAAATAAAAAGAGAAAATAATCAAATGAGATCAAGTAACTTTCATCTGTAATGTATATAATTCGCTGAATTGCCCAATAGATAATTTATCAAATTAATTACCACAAGAAAATTATTTTTCATTCAATTTTCCAGCCAAAATAGCTATTTTTGATGTATACCGTTACAGTAATATAAAATATTGATAATGTGAAATACGATTTCAGACTGTCTCTGATGTCAATATTTTTTTAGTTGTACTTCTATTGTCAACTTCATTCACCATAATGTCTACAACACATAATGTCCTAATAACCAGTATGTGCATCTACAAAGAGTGAGACAGAAAAAAATGATTATTTATGTAGATAAAGAAAAAGAAGAAGCAGCAGCAGCAGCTCAGCAGGTTATATTTTCACTAGCATTATTTATGGAAGATGCTTTATATAGTATTGCAATCCATTTGAAAAATGATTTGTCAAATAGATTGCACACATTAAAATTAATAATTTCCTTTTAAAAACTTGATATACTGCTGCATCATGATGGATATCATATTCATGATGCCTCTTACTTGATGTGCATAGGAATTTATCATCCAAAGGCTGTGTGTCATATAAAACAGTGATGAATTCAAATCAACAGGCCTTTAAATTACAGTTGAAATATGTTGATGCAGTCATTTTAATGGCACAAACAAACTTTATATTATCCAGCATACTGGCAAACAGCATAAAAGTAGTTTTGCAAGTTGCAACTTTAAATAACTGTGGACTATTACATCTTAATATCAGCATGCTAGTGTTTGCTGGCATATAACGCCTAATAAGCAGCAATTAGTGTGTTCATGGCTTCTATTTCAACAGACAAGGCCTTTTAAATAGGGTCTGCTGCAGCACTGGCATATCAATTGCTACTTTATTAGGATAGCGTGCTACACTGCAGTGGTGAGTACATTATTCATCCATAAACATAAGGGCTGAGATAATCACACAGCCCATGTGTAGCACTTTATCCATTCAAGATTTGTACTGTTTAGTTTTACATCAGTGGCCAATGCTGCCACCTCATGGTTAGAAACAACCATGAGCATCACAGAACTCTCTGTATTATGTACAAGGCTTTCAGTTCTGTATGAAAACAAGAGCAGTATAAAGCAAATCCACTCATACACACTGTGACTTGCAATTTATCAGACAGTAGTAGACTTAAGAATCTGAAAATAGCAAACTCAGTATAGGGAATCACAAATGCTTTATCTCTGTTTGCCGTTTACAGAACAAATCTAAAAACTAATTAGTATTAATAGTCCATTTCTATCTAGTAATCTTATTATACAGTCATTAAAAAGGTCCAGCATGCCACAAAAGACTACATCCCAAAAATTTAAATTGGGAAATGTTCCAAGTAGATCAAAAAGAAAAAAGATTACACACACACACACACACACACACTTATTACTAATATTATGCAATTATATACTATATATAATTATAATTATAAATTATTATATAATTATATATGTTGATTCATTTATATTACATAATAACCTAAACTTAATCATTGGGCTTCCCTTATGCTATTTCCCCATTTTCAATGGTGTAGTACTAGGCTTGGGCAGCAGATGTAGCTATGGCACTAGGCTTTAGATTGCACAAAAAAATGATTGCCAACACATCTTCTGCACATATAGCAGGTACAAGACCTCATCAGATAAAGGTATATTGCTGTAATTGACACAATATACTTTTCTTCACATCTACACCTCTATAAACTCACACAGACCAGCCACACCTAAACTGCCTTTGCATTTACTCAGATATACAATGAAAGTAAAAAAGATCATTACAGAATCTGCGACAACGTGATCTGACTCAGAGGTACTTGATAAGGAGTACATTTGCATCTGTGAGCTACTGTATCCTATTCATTCATCAGCATCGTGTCAGTGGCAGTTATTTGAAATTCACTACTTCGATTTTAACCTTTTGCCACCAGCGTTATTTTAGTATTGATTACTATAATTGAATTAGTATTGTTATTTATTTTAGTTATAAGTTATACTAAATAAAAATAAGAAACATTTTCTTGGCAAATATGGCTAAGTTTTTTATTATTTTATTTAATTTCAGTTAATATTTTTTTCAAGTAACAAAAATGTTTTTATGGTTTTAGTTTCAGTTGTTTGCCACATGGGCCAATGAAGAAAATCTGAAAAAGAAATACCTCATGTACCACATTTGTCATCACATGGAGGTTTTTACACTGATGGTCAGACTATCATTCTTACAAATTTGATTTATACCAAGTAGTATGTTGCAGTTCCTTAACACTTTTACTTGCATTTGTCAGATTTTCACTTGCATTTTGGGTAATTTTGGACCGTGTGTTTGCATCTGCTTGTGTTGGATGGAAACGGATAGAGAGGGTTTGTGCGCATGCGTGGTGCACATGTACTCACCAGTCCCGCAGTGAGAGAGGGGGCAGACTGGCCAAAGGATTGACTCCTCATGCGGACCAAGTTATTGGGTTCTCCTGTGTGCTGCTGCCAGGCCAGCTGACTCACTCCACCGTGCATGCTGCTGGACAGAGGCAGAAGCTGCTTTCCTGCGGCACACCGAGGAAACAGAATTAGGACATAGTTATTTCTTGTTTTGTATGTGTGTGTGTGTGTGTTCTGTGGTCAAACCAAATCAAAGCCAAGCCACAGATTCTCTCTGACAGCTTTTAAATAATGTGAACCAAATTCTGCAGTCTTTGTAAATCACTTATTGAATGAAAGCAAATTTGTGACATTAAAAATTGCACAGAAGGTCAAATACTCTTGCTTCCATTGAAGCACATGGTGTGCTCAAATCATGTTTTTTCATCATCAGGTTTTAGACATATTTCTGAAGATTTTAAAAGCAAAAGGTTCCAAGCCACAGATTCTCTCTGACAGCTTTTATATAATGTGAACCAATTTCTGCAGTCTATGTAGATCACTTATTAAATAAAAGCAAATTTGTGACATTAAAAAATTACACAGAAGGTCAGATATTCTTGCTTCTATTGAAGCACATGGTGCTCTCAAAACATTCTCAAATCATGTTGCATAACATGATCATCAGGATTTACACAAACTTCTGAATTTTTAAAAAGCAAATGAAGGGGGGCATACAAATTTGTGGTGTCTCACCGGTGAGGATGCCAGCCATACTGCAGCGGCGGGCTCTGGTGTCATCCTGACTGAGCTGTCGCTGCAGTTTGGTCTTTGCTGCGGCAGGAGACAGGTCGGGGTTACTCAGCTTCCTGAACAGCAGGGGAGGCGGCGGCGGCATCTCCTGCTGAAACACATAGAGATTAGGAGTTTTTTCCTCTTTTCAATGACAATCGAGTACACAGCTGTATTAAGAAATGCCACATAAGAGACTACTAAACCTTGAAATAAGACACCGATGTACAGTTGTATAACACTAAGTTCACAGAGTCAACTCAAAAGCAATAAAACTGATTTAGAAAGTGTTTGCAGTGGCTCCATCCACACTGTAGCACTGCATCACACACAGAGAGTCACACTTGAATAATCCATCTGAAAATAGCTGTTTCCATCCACCTATATCGCATAAAAAACGCTGGATGAAAATGCCAAGATGTGCAGAAATTCTAAAAATGCGCATTAAAAAAATTATACGCACAATTGAGTAGGATAAACGTTTTATCCGATAAGAAAAAATGTGCATAAACTACAATGGAAACACATTTACCAAATACATTTCACCTTGTGCATCAAAAAAAGCCATGTGACTTTGCACGATGGGATAGGATAACTTGACTGAAATTGTGTTTTGGTTAATTTGAAATGCCTGAGCAAAGTCTGTCATCAAAGTAAGTCTGTATAATTGTCTTACATGACTGCATTCCCGAACAGCAGAAATCCATCCTTAAACAATGACCACATTTATTGTGTTTCGTCTGCTCGCTCTGAGGCGCAAGTAATTCATCATATATGAAAATTATTATATTAAGTGGCTTCTCCTACTTTTCTTAGTGATAGTGCCAGTTTATCAGGAAGTTATGATTTTGTTCTCTTTGACACGTTGAATGGTAATGGTGCTTTATTCGCAAAAGTTTTATGCGATATTTCAGTTTTACGCATAAGTTAAATTCGAATCTTTGGATGGAAACATAGCTAATGATGACTTGCTGCCAAGATTTGAGCTGGGGGGCATATTCTAATAATCGCAATTCTTCAGCGATTCTGAAACTCAGAAATTCAGAATTAATTTAGTTAGAAGTACAACTAGATTGCTTATCCATTTGAGACAGACAAATTAGCAACTTGTGAATGCAAACAAGAGACATCAAGGTGTGAATGTTGCCAAGTTTATTCAATTTATGGGTATTCTACACATTTAAGCATAATTAAGCTAAATGCAAAGGAAATAGACTAAGCGGTTTCATTTTCAAAGGCAACACATAATTATAAAAGAAAATACAACAATGTTTTGCCTTTGCACAGCAGAACAATCAATAAGAAAAAGCATGTGTCAAGAAAAAAAATCATGAGGTGTCTATAAATTCCCATCCCTAGCCAAGACACCTGCAACAGTTATTCTGTTGGCCTGTATTTTGCTATCAATACATTAACAGCCACAAAAAGACAACAGCAATGTGAAGCTGTCATCAGCAGAAAAATTATGATGACAGGAAAACAGAACAATCAAATTTAAGAGGTAAGAAATATAGACCCAAACTGTGAGCCAAATAAATTTCTTTAAAGACGCCTGCAGATTCATTCATACTCCCCGTGTTCTTCATCAGGATGGGAAACAGATGTTGCCATGGAAATCTGGCAGGAACTCTGCACTGGTCACATCCTCTCTGTGGTGTCACGAAATTCCAGAAACATCTGGAAGGCCTGCTTGTATCAAACGCGCAGCGCTCATAAAACCACACTGCAAGGCCTCAAAAGTAAAAAGCCTCAAAGCAAACAAACGTCAGTGTTGTCACTAGCTCACACACACACACACACACACAGAGTGAAACAACAAACCAAATGCAATCCTACCAGTCACCACTGCAGACACAAAAAAATGACCCTGAAAGAAAACAAAGGGTTGTAAACAAGTTTCACAATCACACTCAAATTCATTCACTACCGTTCAAAAATTGCTGTTTTATTTACTTTTATTCAGCTAGTACTAGGGTTGGGTACCAAAACCCGGTACCAATATGGCACCGGTACCTATGTAACCGGTATGTACTAGAATCGAATCAGAACGCAGATTTTGGTGCCTCATTTCGGTGCCATGCCTGAGCTATCGATTGAAATATTTGTCTTCTGGTTCTCCGAAACGGACGTAAGATTGCTCTGATGGCAGCAGGTAGTCTTCCGTTAACTAAGCTAAACATGCTTAAATTAAAATGCCTAAAGCTAAACCTCCCTTGTATTCACATTTCTAAACCTGTTGTCCAACAAAAGAGAACACTATAACCTTTTTACTCCACAATACCAGTCAAATGCTTCCTTTTGTGATTTGATGTGGCTTCTCGTCACAGAATGAGGCAGAAAATATGTTCCATAGGCTACTTTAGAAAGAATACATCGATTAGCAATGGATTATAAATATACTTAATTATTATGAGAATACTAGAGATGGCTTGAATAACACAGATAAACTATATTGTCGCAGTCGAGTGTTTATTGTCTTTGTTTTATCATTCAAAACGTTTATATGATCTGTTTACTCAGTTAACTTACAGCTATAATAGGGATGCCTTTGTCCATATAAGGGATTTCCTGAGTTTCCCTACTTCTGTGACTGGATATGTGGATTTTCTGTGCGAGGGCGCCCTCTGGCGTCCAGTATGAATGAAACAGACATCATGTGCTAATGGCCAATCCATAATTTTTGTGGAAATTTTTATTTTTTAATTTTTTATAAGTATCGGTTCAGGCACCGTTTAGGCACCGGAATTATTTTAAAAGTATTGATTTGGCACCGGTATCGAAAAAACCCCAAACGATACCCAACCCTAGCTAGTACACTTTAAACTGATCAAAACAGTGACAGTAAAGGCAATTATAATGTTACAAAATATTTGTATTCAAAATATATGCTGTCCTTTTGCACTTTGTATTCATCAGTGAATGCTGAAAATAAATGCATCACAGTTTCCACAAAAATACTAAGCAGCACAGTAGGGCTGAACGATTTTGGAAAATAATCTAATTGCGATTTTTTTTACCAATATTGCGATTGCGATTTAATATGCAATTATTTTTTAAAGCTCTTTATGTTCTGTATTATTCAACAAAGACAACCTATAAATCATTGTATAGTATGACCAACACACTATTAGATAGATTAAACATAAATGTCCTTTTCTGTAGGCCAGGCTTATATGTTACCATGAAATTAGGTGATGCATGAATTGATATGAATGACATTTTTATTGAACAACTACAATCAACCGATCGATCTTCAAGTGGAACACACCTCTTTACTCTAACGTGTCACGTGACCGAGTGTAATCGCAGCCTCTGCGATTGAAAAATCGCGTTTTTTCATATCGCGATATTATCGCAAATGCAATTAATCGTTCAGCCCTACAGCACAGCCATTTTCACCATTGATAAAATTAAGACACATTCTTGAGCAGCATATTAGAATAAGTTCTGAAAAATCACGTGAAACTTCAGACTGAAGTAATGGCTGCTATTGCCAAAGTCCCTTTAAGGCAAGTCATGTCACTCGGTGGCCATCTTTGAAATGCCTCTCGGGCCTGCAAGTGCAAATCCTATCTCTTTGAATGGGAAAACATCAAATTCCCAAAAACTGTTCGTCAAGCTTACGATTACATTTCTTATTTGAAATCACCAATGAAATCTGACAACAACTGTATAATAAATGTTGTTTATTTTGCTCAAATAGCATTTAAAAAAGCTTATTTTTCAGGCTAAGATCAGCCAAGTGAGCATGCGCAGTCCTAGGTGCACGTCTCAGAACGCTGACTGTTTCTATAGCAACCGGGACTTCTAACGGCAGCTGCAGTGACGCGCTGACTTTACCGATTAGTAGGGGTGGGGAAAAAAATCGATCCATCGCGATTCTCTCTCCAACGATTCTGGATCGATTCTGAGAATTTCAGAATCGATTCGGAGCTTAGTTTTTAACCAGATGCGCGATGACGCTGAGTTTGCTTTAGAAACACCCGTATTCTGCTTGCTTCCAATTCCTCACACACATAGACCACTCGAACCTTCTGTAAAAAAATCTTTCATAAAGTTCGGAAAGGTTGAAGCGAATTACAAGGACTTTCACTGGCTTCACTGCACCGGATGCGCTGTGAGAGACGTGCGCTTTGTTTGATGTTACACTTGAAGTGTGCGGTCTCGTCCGTCTGTATTTTCCTTACAAATGCTCTACGAAGTCATCATTTATGTGGTTTGGAATACAGTGGACTTATATATTTAAAATATGAACCTCACTAACAGAAGGCTGCTTTCAATTTCAAATGCTGACGTGCGCTTTGTTTGTGAAGACTAGAGATGCACCGATCGATCGGCCCGGATTGGTGATCGGCCGATCAGTCTCACTTCTTTCCGATTCCGAGCCGATCCGTTTTGTTACCAGCGGCACAGGCAATAACGTCAGCCGCGCATTCTCGCTCTCTTCTCTACGACGACCCCTTCTCTCTCACACACACACGTCTCATTCGCTCCGGTTCAATAGTGCTTGTATTGCACATTATTTTAGTCATTCCCGCAGGTTTCGCGCTTACACCAAAAGCGTGCGCACCATCACTGATCTATATTAGTGGATCGCACAAGCCGTGCTCAGTCTCAAACAGCTTGTGTCACAAATACCAAAATGAGTGGCTAACTGTGCCAAAACTTTCAAATACATACAAAATAATGTCAAAATGCCCGCCTTGGCCAGTATCCAGTTAAACACAGTCAGTTTTGGAACGTTAAATAGTTGAGAAAGAGAACGCATGTCGTGTAACAGTATATTGGGTCCGTGGATAAACTCTTAAAGGGACCGCAGTCCAATATTCCTGCTGCGGTCTGTCATGTTAATCAAAGAACAAAAGACAAAGAAAATAATTTTCTGCTTTTATGCTGCTGTGTCATGTTCATCAAAGAACAAAAGACAAAGAAAATCACTTTCTGCTCTTGACTGAATACGTTTTATAACTTTAATGGTAAGCATTAATCTGTATTTAATTTTTACAATGAAGACTACAGAAATTAAAGTAATCAAATGTAAAATAACACTGGATGAGTTATTTTACATTTGATTACTTTAATTTCTGTAGTATTTCTTACCTGAATAAA